TTGCATCAGTTCATGTAAGTCTTTCAAGATTTTTCTGAAATTTGCCTCCTCATCATTTCTTATTGCACAATAGTGTTCCATTACATTCATATACCACAACTTTTTCAGCTATTCCCCAATTAATGGGCATCCTCTAAATTTCCAATGTTTTGCCACCACAAAAAGAGCTGCTATAATTATTTTTGCACATGTAGGTCCTTTTCCCTTTTTTATGATTTCTTTGGGATGCACACCAAGTGGTGGTATTGCTGGATCAAAGGGCATGCACAGTTTGGTTTACCTTTGGGCATAGTTCCAAATTGTTCTACAGAATGGTTGGATCAGTTCACAAATCCATCAACAGTACATTAGTGTCCCAGTTTTCCCACGTCCTCTCCAATATTTATCATTTTCCTTTTTTTGTCATATTAGCAAATCTGATGGGTATGAGATGGTACCTCAGATTTGCATTTCTCTAATCAAAAATGATTTAGAGTACTTCTTCAAATGACTATAGATAGCTTTGATTTCATCTGAAAATTGACTGTTCGTATCCTTTGATTATTTATTGAGTGGGGAATGGCTTGTATTCTTATAAATGTGACTCAGTTTTCTATATAGTCAAGAAATGAGGCCTTTATCAAAGATCCTTCTGTAAAGACTGTTTCCCAGCTTTCCACTTTCCTTGTAATCTTATTTGGATTGGTTTTGTTTGTGCAAAAACTTTTTAATTTAATATAATCAAAATTATCTGTTTTACATTTTGTAACACTTTCTGGATTTGTTTTATATCCTGTAACTTTGCTGAAATTGTTTCAATTAATTTTTATTTGAGTACACATCATATCATCTACAAAAAACTACAATTTTGTTTTGTTTTTGCTTATGCTCATTCCCTCAATTTATTTTTCTTTTCATACTGCTATAGGTAGAATTGCTAGCAATATGTTAGGTTGTAGTGCTGGTGGTAGACATCCTTGCTTTATCCATGATCTTATTGGAAAGGCCTCTAACTTCTCCATTGTATATAATGCTTGCTCTTAGACTTAGATATTATTTACTATGTTAAGAAAAGGCACTTTTTGGGGGCAGCTAGGTGGCACAATGGATAGAGCACCAGCCCTGAAGTCAGGAGGACCTGAGTTCAAATCTGGCCTCAGACAAAACACTTAACACTTACTAGCTGTGTGACCCTGGGCAAGTCACTTAACCCCAATTGCCTAAAAGCAAAAAAATTAAAATTAAAAAAAAAAGAAAGGGCACTTTTATCATAGATGTCATTCTTAACAAATTTGCTAATGATAGAAAGCTAAAGGGAATAGCTATCATGGTGGGTAACAGAACCAGGACTCAAAAAAAATCCTGATAGGTTAGAACATGGAGAAAAATTTAAGAAGATAAAATTATTTAAGGATAAGTATAAAATCTGATATTTGTATTAAAAAATAATTTCATAAGCATAAGGTAGAGGAAGTATGGCTATGTAGGACTTTGTCTAAAAAAAGATATTGAGCTTTTAGTGGACTAGAAACTCAATATTAATTAACAGTGTGATATCATAGCCACAATAGTCAACTGAATCTTAGGCTATGTTAGGAGTGGTATAGTGTTCAGGATTGGGGAGGTGATGGTCCCACTATACTCTGCCCTGGTCAGACCATATCTAGAGTTCTAGATTCACTCTAGGAGCCACACTTTAGGAAGGATATTAATAATGTAGAGGGTATCCAATGGAGAGCAATAAGTATGATGAAGAGCCTCAGAATCATTCCATGTAAGGATCAGCTGAAGGAACTAGGTATGTTTAGCCTAGAGAAGAGAAGACTTAATGGGGACATGCTAGTTTTCTTCAAGTATTTGAAGGGCTTTTATGTAGATGAGGGATCAGATTTGTTCTGACCCCAGAGGGAAGATCTAGAAGTTGTTGGTAGAAGTTGCAAAGAGGAATATTTAAGCTTGATGTCAGGAAAAGACTTCTAACAATCAGAGCTATCTAAAAGTAGAATGCATTGCCCCAAGATGCATTGGGTTCTCCTTGACTAGAGTACTTCAAGTGGAGCTTGGATGATCACTGGTTAGATTTGTTTAGGTATGGGTTCAACCAGATTTTAGATTCTTTTGTTTTAGAGAAGAGGATCTGGTTCTCTTCCTTGCCTTCTCTGATCCTCTTCCTTGCCTTCTCTGATCCCTACCCCCTTGACTTAGTTTCCCCTCTTGGCGGCAAAACAGAATGCGTAGCCTTTTCTTCTTAGAAGAGAAGCTTGCACACACACTGGTACCTGACCTTTTTATCGTATCATCCTTTTCTTGATCAGTGGAGAGATTGGTGCTCTGTAACTAGGGAAGGGCTTGCATATGCTCTATTCCTGTCAACTTTGCTCTTGTTTTTAGTTCTTATCAAGGGGCCATGGGCATGGCTTATGAATAGGATGATATGTGTACCTGTCTTTCTGTTAATTGGAAATGGTAGGATACTTGGTACCTCATCCAGTGCTAAATCCTCATAGTCCACAATCACCTTTTTGGATAAGGTAAGCCATTGCTTGGCCTTTACCTTGAGGATAAATGAATCCATTTTACCTCTGGCCTGAAATGCATTGCTATTGAATGAATTTCTGCTGCCTATAATAGGTCTTGGGCATGGCCAAGGAAAATTCTGTTCTGTCCAGACGGCACCAGAAACTTTTTTTTAAAGCACATCCACATTAAAAAAAAACACCACCACCACCCATGTGCTTGGTTCAATGGAGGATCATTTAGAGAGCCAGTGGATAAACTTTCAGAACCTTTCTTCTCACTCAGTTTAAGTTCCCTCTACACAACAGAGAGCATGCTAGGGCTTGAATGTGACTGACAAAAATGGCCAAGGTCGTACACACCCAAATGTGTTCAGTCCCCAGCACTCGGCCCCTTGCCAAGTATGCTTGCTATTCACCACTTTGGGGGAATCTGTCTGTCAGTGAGTTCTCACAATTTCTCATGAAGGCCTCTTCTGGGGAACTGCTATCTCTGACTTCACACCCTTGCAGCAAGAGAAATCCTGGATGGTTGCCAGGTGCATGTTTGAGATTTGTAGCTTCTTCCAGCTTCCTGGCTCTCTCCATTCCATTGCTAATAGTTTCAAGAAAGTAGGCATATGTTGTTTTCAAAAGGAAAACAAGGTAAGTTTCAGTGTCTGCTTGTCAGTGAGGGAAGTTCTTCAGGTAGGCACTGCTAACTAGACATGGTGAGACACAATGCTACTACCAAGGGGTGTGGTATATTAGAAAAACAACAACGTTGAATTAGGAGCCAGGACACACAAATCCTCATCCGGGTTTATATGCTACCAATTCACTGCATGACTTTGACAAAGAGACTGGCACACTCACTCATGATATGCAATATATATTTTTTTATTGTATCACTCACTTTAATTCACTGTACTATGGTTTGTCCCTTCCCACTGACATTTTGTGCCCTACCTCATCTAGTGATCTTTCTGTAGAGGCCACCAGGTGGCGCAGTGGATAGAGCACTGGCGTTGTAGACAGGAGAGCTGTGCGGTCATTTCAGTTGTGTCCGATTCTTCATGACTCCTTTTGGGATTCTCTTCCCAAAGACACTGGAATGGTTTGCCCTTGCCTTCTTCCAGATCATTTTATAGACGAGTAACTGAGGAAATGGGGTTAAGTGACTTGCCCAGGGTCATACAGTTAGTAAATGTCTGAGGCCAGATTTGACCTCAGGAAGATGAGTCAGAGACTTTGTTTAAAAAAAAAACTTACATCTGACACGAGCTTAAATTTATAATTTACATAATAAAACCAAATTTACAAAATTTTGAAAGCAAAGTAACTCAAAATAGAGTCCTTCCATCAAGTTGTTTTACAAAAGCAAACAATTATCTAAAAGCTTAGGACTTGTGACAAAGATTACAAGGTGCACATGAAGCTAATTGGAAGGAATGTCAATGTTACAAAATATAATCGAAGTTTCGTTTGGAAATGTAACAGCGCTTTCTGCTTCATACTTGGTCATCACAAGTTCAATGACATACCTGAAAATTTGCTTAAAACTGGTCTCACTTCGAATCCTTTATGTAAGTGCCTCATTTAACACTGCATTAATGAGTTTTCACTTCATTTAAGCTCACATAGTCCTCTAAAGCAGTGTTTTGCAATACTTAAAAAAACTGCTTGTGTTACAGCACCTAACAAACAGTCTAAGAAAAGAAAAATTGATAGGATAGCTCTAAGATCAGAGGACATGGCAAGAGTACCCCTGGGCAAGTCACTTCATTTCTCTCAGACTCAGTTTACTCATTTGTAAAATGAGCAGAAGAACAGAACGTACTTCATAAAGTCGTAAGGATCAAATGAGATAATGTATATAAAGTGATCTGTACTCTTGCGTTCTTAGCATATCATATAAATGTTAGCTGTTGTTATTCCTCAGAATAGCTTATAAAGATCTTAAAGTCAAGTATCCAATCTTCTTACAGCTTATACCCCTACTCCCCACCCCTACCATTTAATATGCAGTCCAGTGGCACTGACCTCTTTACTATTCCTCAAACAAGACTCCATCTCCAGAATCCAGGCATTTTCACTGAATGTTTTCATGCTTGGAATGCTCTCCCTCTTCAGCCCTGTCTCCTGTCTTCCCTACTTCCTTTAAGTGCTAGCTAAAATCTCATCTTCTGCTGGAAACTTTTCTTTATCCCCCTTAATTCTAGTGCTTTCCCTCTGTTGATTATATGCAATTTATCCCGTATAGAACTTATTTGTACATAGTGGTTTGCATGTTGTCTGCCCTGTTAGGAGGCTCTCTCCTTGAGAGCAGGAACTGTCTTTTGCTTTTCTTGCCTTTCTTTATATCCCCAGTGCTTAGCATAGTGCCTGACACATAGTAGGTGCTATGTATTGACCGACCCCGACTTATAGGGGAGGAAGCTAGGAGCATGGAGCCCAGATCTCAAATCTTCTCCACACCTTCCAGGAAGACACCTTGGGCTGATGATGCTGTTCTCTCTGTCTCAGGCAGGTAACGTGGTGACTGGAGAGATGGTAGAGGAGCTTATTCTTTCTGGAGCAGACATCATCAAAGTGGGAATTGGACCAGGTAAGGACTGTCTAGAACAGAGAATGTCCAGGATAATGTGTGAGAATCTTGACTAGGGGAGGGTGGAGGCTAGGGAGGAAGTTCCTGTTGCTGGGGAGTGATACCTTATGAGTGAGAAACAGAAGGGTTTAAGGGGAGGCCTGTGATTTTATTGATAGAGAAGTGGCTGCTGACCCTGGAGAGTCTCTAAGTGACTTTGGCCAAAATTTGGATGCTGCTTTGTGGTTTCAGAACATGAGTACAGAAGCAGAGAATGCTGGCTTCTTTGGTTCCTCAGCCTGTGACCCTCTAAGGGGGAGGATGCAACATGTGTGGGAAAACGGTTTTACTTTTCCCATATTAAATTCAAGAAAAAAAATTATTAAGCACCTATATATTCATGGACATTTTTAGGCACTGGGCATACAAAAATGGAAAACAACACAGTGTCTGACCCCAAGGAGCTTATAGTCTGATTGAAAAGGACAGGTATAAACTGTGTACCTAAAATAAGTGACACAAAGTAGAATGTGATAGAGACAAAGGAGAGCCAGCAAAAATGTTAGGAGAATTTGGGGGAGAAAGGAACGATTGGAATGTTGAAGAGTCCTGTACATGGTTAATTCAACTCTGAAGTCCACATTTAGCTCCATATCTTGGGTTTTTCCATAGCCACAGTTTTTCTCCCTTGACACTTAGGGCTCTATTTTTCTAGCATGTCCCAAGGCATAGACTTCTGACTACTCTTCCTGTGGGTAGGTGGAGGCCATACTCACTGACAAGGACCAGCTCAAGGAAAACTCTGATCCTGGCTTCACTCTCATAATGTATCCTCTAAGTTAGCTCTTGGAGCCCAACTAGCTCTCTGCTCTGGGAAAGAACCACTGGTCCTGTGTGAGGATGCCTATGTGTGTGCTGGCTCTGCAACTTTGTTGTATCCTCCAGGGGTCCTTAGGAACTAGTTGGAAAACACCCAAATGAAATTCATAGCTGCAGAGTTACTGGAATGGATATGTGGAGAGGTGCTGCTTAGGACAAATTAGGGTTGGATGTCTGTATTCCATTCATTCATTCAACATTGATTACGCACTTATTATGTGCCAGGCAATAGGCTAGCCACAATGGGGATACTAAAATGATTAAGATAAGATTCTTATTCTCTAAGAACTTAAAATCTACCAATGGGGATGAAATTCATGCACAAATAACTAATACATATTGGCAGTGACACATTCATAAGAGGTATAAATTGTTATGGGGTCAGACTGAAGGGGGTCACTTCTGACTGGGAAGGTCAAAGAGGAAGCCTCTTGGAGGAGGTGGCACTTAGGCCATAATTTCAAGGACAGGTAGGATTTCTATGGGCAGAGTTGGAGATCAGTTGCATTCTAGCCATGAAGAACAGTGTGAACACAGATATGGGACATTCTAGGGCAATGGTAAGAAGTCTGAGGTGCAAATTTTTAAAATTCTCTCTGATCCTCTATTTTTCTATTTACTTATGCCTTCAATGAATCATAAATGTAGAACTAGAAGGGACCTTAGAGATCACCTAATTCAGTCCTCTTATTTCAAAGAAGAAGGAACAGAGGCTAAAAGGTTAGGTGACTAGTCCAAGGTTATCAAGGGCAGGATTCAAATCTAAGAATACTCCTTTATACATAACTGCTGTCACTTAAGCTCATTTTCAAGTCAAAGGCAGCAGGTATTTATTAAGCATCTCCTGTGTGGCAGGCGTCTTGCCAAGTGCTAGAGATATAAAGAAAGGAAAAAAAATGTCTTTGCTCCCAAGGAGTTCACAGTCTAATTGGGGAGATAACATGCAAACTTATCTTATATGTACATAGAAGATATATACAGGATAAATCAGATACAATCTCAGAGGGAGGGCTCTAAGATTAAGGAGGGCTGGGAAAGGCTGCCAGCAGAAGGGGGGACTTTTGCTGAGACTTAAAGGAAGTCAGGGAAGCCAGGAAGAGGAGATGAGAAGAGAGATGATCCCAGGCATGGGGGGAAGCAGCCGGTGAAAATTCACAGTCATTAGCTAAGGTCAATGTCACTAGATCACGGAGTAACTGGGAGGGGAGTGAGGTGTACAATGACTGGGAAGGTAGGAAAGGGTGAAGTTATAAAGGGCTTTAAAGGCCAAACAGAGGATTTTCTATGTTATTTCTCTCGTCTGATATATGGATTAAATGAAGAGGTAGTAATAGGAGGTAAAGATGTTTCCAGATAAGCTTGAGTCAGATTGTGGAGGGTTTGGAGGGCTCAGTTAAGGCACTGGAGCTTTGTGTAGTTGACAATGAGCTGTCATTAAAGAATTCTGAGTAGGATGTTACAAGAATAATCACAAGTAGCAAGAATAATCTAGCAGTGGTATGTGTAGTATGGATTGGAAGGGAAATAGGCTGAAGGCAGGCAGTTAGGAGACTGTTATAATAACTCAGGTGAGAGGAGGACAGTGTTCTTCACATTTTTGGGACTAAGAGAACTACCTCTCAAGGGACAGGTTGTGAACATGCAGAGTCATAGGAGCATAGAATTATTCTTTGTAATAACAAGTAGAGTTAATCAGTAGAAAATGGTGAGTGTCCTCCTTACCCTTGTCCCCAGTAGGACTGTAGTACCTGAAGGCTAACAGTAAACCCTCATGCTTCAGATAAAAGTCTTGCCGATTTCGTACCCTTCAGGGAAAGGCAGCAACTTTGGTGGTCTTGGTCGAAGGGCTAAAATGATGTCTAAATGTGGATGTGGCACTAACATCTTACTGGAATGATTTAGTCCAGTGCCAAGTTGCTTCTTTTGGTTATATTATTTCCCGTCTCCCTTCTCCCCCCACTTCCTCTGCCAAAAAAAAAAAAAGACTACCGGAAAAGCAAGGAAAACAGAGATCTGTCTTAACAGTTTCTTATGTATGTTAGAAGAGAAAATGAGCATAAGAAATCTCACTTAAGCATAAGGAAGTATTTCTTGGTTAGTCACAGGACCTGGCTCTGTCACTAACAATTAAACATTGGATAAATCACTTAACCTTTCTGGTCCTTGGCTTCTTGATCTGAAAAATGAGGTTGGACTAGATGGTCCCTAAGATCCCATCCAACTTTGAACCAATGATCCAGGGAAAGGATTAGAATAGATGATTTGGGGGAAGTTATGAAAAAAGCCCCAGTTGAAGGTTTCTTGAACTTGATTTCCCCTCCGCCTGTAGTACATCCTTAGGTGTGTGCTTTGTTATTATTTTCAAGTTGTTTTGTCAGTGTGCCTTAAAGCATAGTCTCTTAACTATTTTTTGGTGTATGTACTTCTCTAACAGTTTGCTGAAGCCTATTGGTCCCTTCTCAGAATTTTCTTTTTAAATACATAAAATTAAATGCATAATGTTACAAAAGAAACCAATTATATGGAAATATAGTTATCAAATTTTTTTTAAAAAAGTTTCCAGTTCCCAGGTTAAGTATTCCTGTCTTAAAGGATTGGTAAATCTCTAAAGAGCAGGGATACCCTTCAGAGTTCAGTACACAGTAGGCATTTTAAGAATATTTTTGGAATAAACAAATGAATGAATGGCTAATAAATAGAGCTGGAGCTTCTTAATAATGAGTCAGATACTTGTTGATCTTGGATGGTTTAAGATTTCTGCCTTTGGGCAAGTCTAATAGCAGTGGAGGTCCAGAGGTCTCCACAATCAATTGAGATATGGCAGAAAGACCACTGGATTAGAATTTTTAGATCTTATTTTGGGCTGAACTGGATGATCTCAGAGGACCCTTCTAAGGTTTAACAATCTGTGACTTTTCACCTGGAGAGCATATTGGATTGGATAATGTCAGAGAATCCTTTGAGCTCTAATCTTCTATGAAATTATCCTTTTGTTGGGGTGTCAGTAATAGTCAATAATAGTCATTAACATTTATTAAGCATCTACTATGTGCTAAGCACTAAGGATACAAATACAAAAAAAGAAAGACAGCTCCTGCTCTTAAAAAGTTTACAACCTAAAGGGTGAACATAACACACAAAAGAAAGCTGAAAAATTAGGGGGACAGAGGCAGCTAGGTGGCACAGTGGATATAGCACTGACCCTGGAGTCAGGAAGACCTGGGTTCAGATCCAGTCTCAGACCAGATACTTGACACTTACTATCTGTGTGACCCTGGGCAAGTCACTTAACCCCAATTTCCTTGCCAAAAAATTAGGGGGACAGAAGGTTGGAGAGGATGGGTGGATTGGAGGTCACAGGCTTGGAGGGCATGGTGGAGAACTCAAAGAAGTCCGAAATGAGTACAACTGACAGCCAAAGGGAGAATGAGATATCTGTCCTGCCCCCTCCTCCTTAAATGAGGGATGAGGAGTTCATGGCCCCACCTTCCAGAGGGTCAGAGTATACTGATGAGATAGGAGGACCAAGGCTGACTGGTTCTTGCAGGATGACAAAGTTTTCCAATAATGAGGTTACTGGGGACATGATGAAGAAGTCCAAAATGTGTGCAGTCAGATAGGAAATGAGTAGTGGCAGTGGAGGAGTAACAGATGGCGACAGATGTGGGGAGATAGGATAATCACTTTAGGATGGTCAGAACTGTTTGGCTCCTGCCATAGTCCTACTTGCTTTTGGCTGAGGATACTTCACTGAGGTCAAGAGGTTCACATAATGTAAAATTAATATTAATGGCAGGACACAGTATAACAAAGCTTAAAATTAAGTCATCCTCTCAGCTCACTCTCTAGACCCCCTGTGAAAGCTGAGACTTTCTAGGATTCTGAAGCCTTCTCTGTGTCTTGACTTGGGCTACTGGGCCCCACCCTGTTTGGAGGAATGACTGCCCTGGAGATGTCTTGGGATTCCCTATCATTCAGTCAATCAACAAACACTAATGAAGAACGTACTACATGTCAGACACTGTTCTAGGTGCTGGAGAAAACAAGGACAAAATTGGAATAACTCCTGCCCTTACAGAGATTACAGTTTAGCTGGGGAAACAACATGTACATGTATAGGTATATGTAAAATAGATACAGTTGCAGGAGAAAGGCATCAGCAGCTGGGGGTGGTGGGGGTGGTCAGGAAAGCTTCATGTAGAGGGTGGCATTTGAGCAGAAGCTTAAGGAAAAGTAGAGATTCCAAGAGATGGGGTGAAAAGAAAGAACTCTGCAGGCATGAGGGACACCTAGAGCAAATGCATGTAGATGGGAGATGGAGAGATAGCGTGCCAGGTTAGGAGGAATGGTAAGGCCAATTTGATTAGACTTTAGTATATAGGAAGGGAGGTATATATACTAGGGCTAGAAAGATAGGTTGGGGCTAGCCTGTGAAGGGCTTTAAGTGACAAAGAGATCCAATAAAACCATTACATGAAGGGATTTGGGGAAGGGGCACTACATAGTGGGAGGAAGAGGCTCCAGTAGGGTTTCCCTGAGCTGCAGTGCTGAGGTGGTGTTTTTTGTCTTCTTCATTTACTCATCTGAGCCAGCGGCTGGACTATTTTATCTTAGTCCCTAAGCTGGTATAGGAGAAGGCAGACTAATTCCACATGCCTGGTAATTGCCCTTCCACTGATGTGAACATGAACCATACTAGGGAGAAGATTTGGCTGTGGGCCCCGTAATTCTCCCTTCATTCTCCTCCTTTTTATTTGAGGAAGGCTCATGGTACAGCTTGTGCCTTTCTGCAGGTGGAAGGGGGAGAATTTAGCTCAGGATGAAAGCGCCCATCACAAAGGGAACTGGGCAACATTCCACTATGCTGGCCAGCCATCAGGCAGAGCTGCCGTGGACAGCAGGTCTTACTATATCCAGGGTGATGAGCTGTGGTGGGAGGAGGAGGACCAGATGAGAAACTAGGAGACCTGAGCTCTATTTTGTCACTTTGACGACTCTATATGTATGAGACCTCGTAGAAATTATTCCTTCTGTAAAAGCCTTAGCTTCTTTATCAATAAAATGGAGAAGTTTACTGAAAAGAACAAATGAAAGAAGATATGTGATGCATTTTGAAAACTCTACAACATTGCATTTGAAATTCTTGAATTCAGGTCCCAAATCTGACACTGACTAGATGTGTAATCTCTTGTGCAAGTCACTTAATCTTTCTGGTCTAAAGCCTAGAAGCCAAAGTTTCATCATCTATAGAGTGAAGGTGTTTGATCAAGTGACCTGCTAATATGAGCATGGTAGAGTGGGAAAAGCACCAGCCTCAGAGTCAGAAGAACTGGGTTCAAATTTTACCTCTTATGCTTGTTACCTAAGCAGCCTTGGGCAAGGCAGTCAGCTTCCCAGGCCTCAATTTTCTCATCTGTGAAACAAGAAAGTTGGACTCAATAGCCTTTGAGTTCCTGTCCAGCTTGAGAACTATGATCCTATGATCTAGTGTTTCTTCTACTTTTAATAGTCTGTGCTGAACAAATACAAGATATTATATCTTGGAAAAATATCTTAAAAAATTATATATCTTGAAAATCTTAAGGGGAAGCTAGGTGACACAGTGGATAGAGCTCTGGCCTTGGAGTCAAGAGGACCTGAGTTCAAATGTGACCTCAGACACTTGATACTCACTAGCTGTGGGATCCTGGGCAAATCACTTAACCCCAGTTGCCTCACCAAAAAGAAAAAAGAAAAAGAAAATTGTATTCTTACAAAGATACTTTGATTGATTCACTTGGTCCTGAAAGTGTGTATGTGTGTGTGTTGTGAGACAGACAGAGAGATAGAGAGAGGCAGAGAGACAGAGGGAGAGACTGAGAGCTACAGGGAGACAGAGACAGAAAGAGACAGAGAGAAAGAAGGGAAAAGAAAGGGAAGCCTGTGCTTTCACTCCCCCACTTTGTGTCAGTGATTTTCCTTAATGCTTTAACTCTTGGGTTTTGTCTTCCTCTTGCCAGGCTCTGTATGTACCACTCGCACCAAGACTGGTGTGGGCTACCCTCAGCTGAGTGCTGTTATTGAATGTGCTGACTCTGCCCATGGCCTCAAGGGACACATTATCTCTGTAAGTTGGGACTCCAGTCTGGTGAGGAGGGTGGGGTGGGGGCAGGGATAGGAGGGGCATGAAGGGAAATTATGGTTCTCAGCCCCAGGGAAGGCCCTTGTGTTCCCTGTCCAATATCTGCTTCCTCCCTACCTGGAGCCACTTATGGGACTAAGCTCCTGGGGAATGTAGAATTTCATCATGATACTGTAAATGTTGCAGGAAAACTTCACTGATGCAGACTGAATGGGTGAAAGGGTTGGAACAAGTTAATGAAGAGTCCAAATCATACCATAGCTCAACAAGAAATGTCTTGCTATATAGTACTTTTGTATTTTAAAATAAAAGGTATAGGGATACTAATTAACTCTGTGACTTTGAACATGTCACTTTAGATCTCTAAGACTTGGTTTCTTTATCTGTAATAATGAAGGGACTGAAATAGATGATTTCTAAATTTCTCTCAGGCTTATAAGTAGCTAGGTAGGTGGCATGGTGGATAAAGCGCTGGATTTAAGAGTAAGAAAGACCTGAGATCATAATCCTGCCTCAGATACTTCCTGGCTGTGTCAGTTAACCTCTCTCAGGCTCAGTTTCTCCATCTGTTAAATGGGGATAATAATAGCACCTAGTTTAGAGTTGTGAAGATCAAATGAAAATATATGTATAATTCTTTTCAAACCTTAAAGTTGTGCATAAATGCTAGCTATTATTATTTTGAATGCTCATTCTAATAAGTTTATTATGTTAATGACAAATGCACATAGAATCCCAGAATTTTAGATTTGGAAGGTAACATAATCAATCCGTTGCCAAGTCTCACTGATTCTACCTTCATAGCATATCTCATATTTGTCCTCTTTTCTCCATTCACATGGCCAACATGGTCACTGCCTTAGTTCAAGCCCTTATCAATTCTCAACCAGATTGCTATCACTGCCTCCTAACTGGTCTCCCTGGGACTGGTGCCTCAGCTTTCTATCTTCCATGCAACTGCCAGAATCATCTTCCCAGAGGACGTGTATGAACGTAACTCCTGTACTTTCAACCCTCATTGGCTCCCTGTTGACTGGAAGACAAAATACAAACTCTTGAGCCTGGCATTTAAAGGCTCCCATAATCTGGCTCCCACCTACTCTTCCAAACTGATTTCATATTAATCCCCTTTGTGAACTCTGTGTTCCAGCCAAACAGAATTGTTAATTGTCCTTAGAACTTGGCATTCCTGCCTTCTCTTGACTTTCTTTCTTCTCACAGACTGTCTCTTGTTCCTTGAACACGCTCTTTCTCATCTTCACCTCTCAGAATTTCGACCTTCCTTCAAGGCTCAGCTCAGCTGAGCTCAGCTGCTACCCTCCCCATGAAATGTGCCTTGATTCCCTCCTTCCCAGTTATTCATCTCTCTCTCTCTCCCTCTCTCTCTCTCTTCTGTCTTTTCTCTCCCCATCTTTCCCTTCTTCTCCCTCCTTTTTTCCTCCTCCCTTCTCCCCTTCTCCCCTCCCCTCTCTGTCTTTCTCTCCTCTCTCCATATAACCTTGTATTTACTTATCTGGGTACATGTTTTGTCCACCAGTAAACTATAAACTTCTTGAAGGCAGAAATTATTTTGTTTTTGTCTTTGTGCCTTGCGTATAATAAGTATTTTATAATCATTTGTTCAATTCACTTAATTTTGAGTACAATTCCTACTTAGTAAAGAATAATTTCTTCACCATGGTTACCCAGGGCCATACAGTTTCTGCTTAATTGTATTCAGTTAAGGGGTACTCACTACCACTTGTTGAAGCTTATTCCATTGCTGAATAGGTATATTCACAGGGGGTTCTCTCTTATGCGGAAATGAAATCTGTTTCTTTGTGACTTCGCCCTGCTAAGGCAGCTGAGATATAGTTACCACAAACAGCATGACTTTGGAGTTGCATAACCTGGATCCAACCTAACCCTCCCTCTCATTACCTGTGTAAACCATGAGAAAGTCATTTAACTACTCTGAACGATAATTTTTTTACTTTATTAATTTATTTTGATTTATCAACCATCACTTCCATAAGCTTTTGAGTTTTAAATTTTTCTCCCCACTTCCTTCTCCAAGACAGTGCACAATATGATATAGGCTATACATATACATTCCTATTAAACATATTTTCACATTAGTGATGTTGTAAGGAAGAATTAGAACCAATAGGAGGAACCACCAGAAAGAGGAAGCAAAACACAACAGAAGAAAAAAATAGCAAATGGTAGGCTTTGATTTGCGTTCAAACTCTATATAGTTCTTTCTTTGGATGTGAATGAACTATAATTTTTTAACCTATAAAATGAGCATAATAATACTTGCAGTACATATAATCGCAGAATTGTAATGTGATGAGACGATGTATGCAAATTATAAAGTGCCATTTAAAATTGGCCATTATTGTTGATTACAGTACAGCCTTTGGGAGCAGTGTAGCACAAATCTATTCCCCCAGCCCCGCTTTGGTTTCTAGATACACGATAGCCTTTCAGATAGCTAAACATTGCTCTCATATCTTTTCTCAGCATTTACTTCTTTAGACTGATGTTTTCCTTACAAAACATGGCTTCTAGACTTCACAATGTTGGTTTCCTTTTTTTCTGGATTCATTCTGGCTTATCAGTTGCCTTTTTATAGGGTAGCAAATACCCAGGATCAAATACAATGACCCTTACAGATGTGATCTGACCTTTGCAGAGTATAGTAATATATAGCTCCCTGCTGATGAGTATAGTATACCTCTGCTGATGCAGCCTCAAATCACATTTCCTTTTTCAGTGGTTGCATTGTATTGCTGCCTTATATCCGCTAAATCCTGAATATCATTTTCACATAGGTGGTTTCCAAGCCAGCCCTCTTTTTTCCTATACTTGTGGAATTTGATGCTTGCACCTAAATGTCAAACTTTGCATTTATCCTTGTTGAGCTATATCTTGTTGCTTTCAGCCCACCATTCCATGCTGTTGTCATGGTGCTAACTAGCCACATTAGCTTTGTGTTCTTTTTCAGTTTGATAAATATGTTCTCTGTCAGGCCCCTCCCCCTTTAAAAAAGTTGAATAGTATAAAACCATAGCAGATCTCTATGACTTTTCACAAGAAAGAGTTTCCTTTAAAGTTTTTCAATCAATCAATCATTCAATCAGTCAGTGTTTATTGAATTTCTACTATGTGTGTATAACACTACTGTGATTAAAACCTCATGGATCTTTCTATTTTCCATGCTGCTCTTCATTGGAGAACATGTTTTAGCTGACAGTGAGCTTGAGAATAGCTACATGCCTCATCTTATAAGAGATACATAATCAGTGGGCAACTGGATGGCTCAATGGATGGAGCACTGGCCCTGGAGTCAGGAGGACCTGAGTTCAAATCTGATCTCAGACCCGACATTTGACACTTACTAGCTGTAAGAGCCTGGGCAAGTCACTTACCCCCAATTGCCTCGCCAAAAGAAAAAAAAAGAGATACATGATCAGTTAAACCGAGAGATCTGGGGCTTCTCCATTAGATGGACTCCTTGAGAGGAGGGACTCTTTTTTTGTCTTTCTTTGTATTTCCAAGACTTAGCACAGTGTCCGGCACATAACTGCCAGCTGACTGGCAGACTGGGGCTGTCCTTCCTCCTGCCTCCATCCAAGCAGAATGTGCACTCTAGATTTTTCTCAGCACTGGAAATGGATTTATGGACTCAGGCATGCTTCTCACATGGTTCCCCCTTAGTACCAAACACACACACACACACACACACACACACACACACACACACACACACACACACACACACATACACACACACACATTTGTGAGACAGCCGTGGACATAGAACAAAGTGATGCTAACTGGCCTGTGGAGGAAAGGAGCCCATAACCTTGGCCTCATTAGCACTGAGCTAACTAGTTGAACTAGCTGAGGTTCAAAAGTATCATCACTCCACAGCCACTTTCTAATGTTGTTTCGCAATTACATTTCTGTTGCCAATAGTTCTGTATCCACTGGAAACCCATCAGACTTTTTGGTTACTGCCTTTTTGTCCAATTGCCAGCTATCTCATTTTACACTTTAGTTGCTGAAATAGCACATCTGCTCTATTAAAGTGCAGAAGCAAGCCACAGCAAGGAGTCAGTTGGGCTCAGGGGACTACACTTGGGATAGTGTTTCTGTTTATTGAAACGCAGAGAGCTTTTCTTCCATACTTAAAAAAAGCCAGAGTGTTTTCCAGTAAACACAGATCTGAAAAATCCAGGGTAAGCCCAGCACATATCAGGGATATGGAGACTGTCCCCTCTCTCCTACATCATTCAGGAGTTCATCACCTTTTTTTTTTTGTGCCCTGGACCCCTTTGTCAGATTGGTGAAGTATGTGAACCCCCCCCCCAGAATCTTATTTTTAAATGCATAAAATAAAAATATGAATGCAAAAGGAAACAATTGTATTGATATACCATACCATACCATACCATACCATACCATACCATATCATATTATGCTCCCTCTCTCTATTTGGCTTTTAAAAAAAATTTAATCCTTCTTCCCCTAAAACTCTTCAAAGTATCTGATCTTTACATTTGTTCTTATACCAGCTCTGCAGTGTGAGTGACAGAAACAACCAACTCTTGTTTAACCATTTACAAGGGAATAACAGCTTGAATAATTAAAAAAAATAATTTTCATAATGCATTTTTTCTGTGGCAGAAATATTATTTGGCTTTCATAATGCATTTTTTTACTGCAGCAAATCAACCTTATTAATTTTGTTTTGAGCAAGCTAATATTAGGTTCTGCTTTTGGTCCTGCTCTCTTGAAATTTTTTTAATCAATGAAGATATAGGAAATATAATTATTAATCTAAAGAAGGCCAAAAAAACCCCTTAAAGCAATAGCTAATATGATGACAGAATGAAGGTTATAACATTTCAAGAAGTTATTAATGCTGGACCCAAACCATAAGATGAAGGTAAATAATGTAAAATGTTACTTTTAGGTTTAAAAAATTATATAAACAG